TAAAAATTGCACACTATATCAGACACTCACATGTACTGTTGCTGTATTTCTTCCTCATCTAGAAATCGAGAAAATAAAAATTTTCTTGTTTTTTCAAAAACAAAGCTATGCTGTTTCTATTTATGCACTATATACTACAAGCCCTTATAAGTATAACCGTAAATTTTCAGCTTTCCAGAAGCCCTAGTTTTCGCAAAATACCGAATTTAGCTTTTTTCACTCGTGTGTTCAATGCTAAAATAGGTAATTTTCGAAAACTAGGGCTTCTGGAAAGCTGAAAATTTACGGTCATACTTACAAGGGCTTGTAGTATACAGCTACATAAATAGAAACAGCATAGCTTCGTTTTTGTAAAAACAAGGAAATTTTGGTTTTCTCGATTTCTAGATGAGGAAAAAATACAGCAACGGTACATGTGAGTGTCTGATATAGTGTGCAATTTTTATGAGCAAGCTGGAGATTTGTAGAACTTTTGTGAGCGAAGATATGAATTTTTCGCGTTTTTGGAGCCTTCAGTACGACTCACATTTTGGGTGCAAACTTATAGTGGATCGAAGTTGGTGCGAACTTTTGCATACCATTTTGTAAAGCTTGCTTTGCTCTATCAAAAGGTACCCTGGAGCCCTGTGAAGAATATGAGGCCCATGACTTATCGCCGTAAGAAGTAAGGTGTAACAAGACTTATGTAACAACCTAATACTTTCCAAAACACAAGAAGCATAACCAGTTTGTAAAATTTTTCTACTTACCCAATCTACGTAGATTATTTGTTTTTGAGTGGTGAAGCACTATTTGCATTATCTCCCAATTTGTAAGTAGTTATCTTTCTCTAACCTACAATTTTGATTGAGGTCCATTGGCAGGCATCTTTTAAGATTGACATTGTTTATGCAGGTTACCGCAAAAGGAAGTGGAGGAGGGGGCGGGGAGAGGAAGAGGGGAAGGGGTAGGTAAGGGGGAGGGTCGTACGGATGGATACATTTAGGAGGGGGTCGTAAATGAGGGGGTTCGGATCGCATCAGCACGTTTGACCCTGCATTACACCCGATTCGACGCCCTATACCTGAAAATCAAAATTTTTTCATTTCTGATTTATGTTCTCCTCCTGGCACCGTCGTTGCTCTGAATTCGTCTTTCAGGTACCATCCCACACTAGTTGACTCAGAAAGAAAGAGAAAATTGCGAGTTTTGCCAAAACTTCGTCAGTGTGGTTACTTTACATGCTGATCACGAATACCATAATCATTTCGCACAGTAGTGCCTTCCGATGGTGTTACGGTAGGATTGCGGGGGGCAGAACAACAGTTTGCCCGGAACTTCATCCAGTAAGGTTATTTGGCGCTGAACATTAATATCATATTTATTTCGTACGTTAGCGCCAATTTATCGGGCTATGATGGATAAACTGTAGATGTGTGGAAGTTCGAATTTGCCTAAAACTTCGCCTAGAGTAATTTTTAAGCGTGCTGATTACCAATATCGTACTCTTTTTGCGTTTAAAGCCTTTTCGGCGGAATCACGACAGGTATAATAGGAGGCCAAAGTGACAGATCTGCCCAAAACCTTATGCAGGGTGACAAGTCCGCACAACATAGTGAATAGAATATTTTATTATTTGTGAAAGATATGTTTGAAGGGGAAAGGAAACCGATGCTCACCCGGTCATTCACAGCTCATCTGGAGTTGTTGGACACCGTCCAATTGGCGTGGAGACTGTCGGAATCTAATTAGTCTGCGTCTCGACATGTCCATTCCATAGTAAAGCTCGTCCCCAGTATACTTTGGGAAATTCGAAATTTTTCTCGAATATTCGAATATCGAATAATATTCGAAAATCGAAATTTTCGAATATTCGACTATCGAATATTATTCGAAAATTGAAAGCTTCGAATATTCGACTATCGAATTTTATTCGAAAATCAAAAATTTCGAATATTCGACTATCGAATATTATTCGAAAATGAAAGTTTTCGAATCGAATAATATTTGAATATCGAATATCATTCGGTGTTCGAATTTCGAATATTATTCGGTTCTCGAATGACATTCGATTTTCGAATACTATCCGAATAAAATATGTCAGTGAGACTACCTGTGAGGGACCGAAACATCTAAGGATTGAGGGACCGAAACATCTAAGGATAAATTCTTTCAGGTAAGTATCAGGAGTAGACATTTTTTTTATGTTTCAATTTACGACGAAAAAACGGTCCAGTGATGACGTGAAGAGACTTAAAGGCAGCCCGGCAAAAAGATGGGTGCCGGGTTTTGTGGCGATCTTAAATTAGACCCCCTACCTAAGCGGTGACTGGAGTGCGGAGCGAAAAAGGGGCTACCAGGCCTGAAATTTGCCCCGAAAGTGGCCCGGATTTTACGGTAGGCTCGTGAGTACGAGATGCATGCAAGGTAGAGACGCAGAGTCGTTGCGGGACCCTGCACTCGTGACTGTGTGCCCTATGCGTTCTCTGGCCTTGCAGTTCGAATCCGCTGTACGGGCGGTATTCGGGCCTACCGTAAGATGGGTCACTTTATGAGCAATTTTCAGGCTTACCAGACCCTCTTTTTCGCTCCGCACTCCAGTCACCGCTTAGGTAGGGGGTCTAATTTAACATCGCCACAAATTAAGAACCTAAATTCTTTTTCTCGCGAAGTCAGTGTTTCATGTACTTCGAATATGAACATAAAACGAAGTCGAAACTAAATACTATAACAACAACCAATACTAAATACTACAATACTCGTTGATCGTTTTCCATAAATTATTAGATGCGAGTAAATGTTTGTATGAAGTGTTAGGGTAGAGTTAACCTTGCTCTGAGCTAGGGTTAAATTAACCCTGATGAATCACGTAAGTTTAATCCTCCAGGGTTAGTTTAACCCTCACGGTTCGTTGATGAATACGGGTTAGTCGCTTTCGGGGTAAAGTTAACCCTCAAGGTTAGATTTAACCCTCAGGGTTAAGCCTACCCTGTGTTTCATAAATACGGGTTGTCGCTTTCCAGGGCTAAACTAACCCTCCAGGGTTAGTTTAACCCTCGGGGTTCGTCAATGAATACGGCCACAGAAGTGCTATATGTGGAGCCAGGCTCCCCAAAAGTGAAGATGGTTCCAGCTACCACTGGCCGGTCAAAAGTGAAGGTGGTAGTGCCAGACACTCACCTCCCAAAGGGGGGGGGGAACGTTAACGTCGACTGAGCCTATCCTCCGGGTCGTTGCCGCCAGTGCACGGAAAATAAGCAAAACAAATGCAAAAGAGATCATTGAAGGCATATTTTTATGTATACAGCGGCATAAATTTAAAATAAAGTGCTTATCAAATGGTGTAGTTAGAAGTAAACTCAGCGGAACTGTATAGATTTTACTGAGTATTTTTTTACGATGTACAGCGAAAAAAGTAGGTCGATGGGAGGTGAGTGTCTGGCACTACCACCTTCACTTTTGACCGGCCAGTGGTAGCTGGAACCATCTTCACTTTTGGGGAGCCTGGCTCCACATATAGCACTTCTGTGGCCGTATTCATTAACGAACCCCGAGGGTTAAACTAACCCTGGAGGGTTAGTTTAGCCCTGGAAAGCGTTCAACCCGTATTCATGAAACACAGGGTAGGCTTAACCCTGAGGGTTAAATCTAACCTTGAGGGTTAACTTTACCCCGAAAGCGACTAACCCGTATTCATCAACGAACCGTGAGGGTTAAACTAACCCTGGAGGGTTAAACTTACGTGATTCATCAGGGTTAATTTAACCCTAGCTCAGAGCAAGGTTAACTCTACCCTAACACTTGCGAAAAAAGTAGGTCGATCTAGGCAGTAACCGCCGAGAACCAGGATTTCGAATAATAAATTAACGTAAAATCATGCGAAATTTCCACTGTTATAAATCTGGTTGTTGAAGATGTCGGCAAATGCGACTTCATGGTTTCTGAAGGGCAAGTGCTGTTCTACCAGATGGTGAAAGAATTAGGTCGATCTGAGCAGCGGCCGCCGAGAATGAAGATTTGAAAAAATTAAGCGATTTTAGGTCACTTAGTGACAGCTGACGTTTGACTCCTATAAATCTGGAATGTGAAGGTATGCAATGTTGCGACTTCAGGTTTTGTAGAGTAAGAATTGCTCTATCGGACTTTGTCTTAGCGTATCGATCCACCAAGATACCGCCGAGATTCAGGCTCTCAAATAAACAAGTAAAAAACCGTTTTTTGAACTTCAACAGCTCATAACTTCTTCAGAATTGCATGAATCATGTTGCGACTTCATAGATTGAATTCTTCTTTTCAAGAGCTTTCAGACGACATACAATATGTGGGGGTATCGCGCCTCTCACGGCATATGCCCGGGGGTGGAGACTTTTTACCCCAAAGTCTCCGCTGGCGGTCTCCACCCAATACATTGACATGAGCGAGGTGGAGACTTTGGGGTGAAAAGTCTTCACCCTGGTTTAGAGCCGAAAAAGTCATTGAATTCCTTGCATATTACATATCATCTGAAAGCTCTTGAAGAGGAGAATCCAACCTATAAATTCGCAACATTGCACACCTTCACATTCCAAATTTATAGGAGTCAAACTTCAGCCGTCACTAAGGGACCTAAAATCGCTTGATTTTTTGAAATTCTCGTTCTCGGCGGCCACTGCTCAAATCGACCTAATTCTTCCACCATCTGGTAGAACAGCACTTGCCCTTCAAAACCTATGAAGTCTCAATTGCTGACATCTCCAACCACCAGATTTATAACAGTGGAGATTTCGCATGATTTTCCGCTAATTTATCATTTGAAAATTCTGGTTCTAGGCGGTTACTGCCCAGATCGACCTACTACATAGATATATGCTCTCAATATTTTCTTTTGCGTTCCTTTTGCTTATTTTCCTTCTTTTAAGCCTCAGCAAAGATTTTTTCAAACCCAAGAGTGAAGGTGGTCACCTCGTACCAGCTCAAAAGTGAAGGTAGGCGAGACTCGGCTCCGACTATCGCACCTCTGCTCGACACACCACACCTCACACTTATGATCGCCAATGGTCTGCAACGATTAAAATCAGTACTCAGGCTTCAAGATTACTACCCTATCTACAGGTGTATAAGGCTCCCGCCAGAGTGCCGAAGTTATGCCAGCGCTACGCCAGCATTTCGATCGATACACGTGTATTTCTTGGGGCGGGGCTAGCTGACGTCCCCAACGAAATACACGTGTATCGATCGAAATGCTGGCGTAGCGCTGGCATAACTTCGGCACTCTGGCGGGAGCCTAAGGCGCGGGGTGGTCCTAGCTTACATCGACCAGGCCGAACAGCCAAAGGACTTCGCATTCAAGTACCCCATACCGTGCTGCGTATTGCCTGAGTCAATCGTGCGGCACAAAAATCGCTTTTCGAAACACATCGAGCGGCTAAGAGCTCGATGTAAGCTAGGACCACCCGCGACTTGTACGCCTTAAAATGGGTACTAGCAACAAATCTTCGAAAGAGAACAGAGCGCGTTATGCGTGAATGGATTACTATTGATCTTTAACGCAAGCATTTAGACGCTCGTAAACTGCATCGTTTTCATTGAAAGTACTAGCCCTCAGTATCATTAGCCATTGATGATGATACAACCAAAAAAGTCTAATTGCCGACGCTATAACGGATACCAAGTGTGTTCTACAAGACATGGGCAAAACGTTAAACGACAAAGCGTGCGGGTCCGATGAGCAGCGTAAAGAACCGTTTCGCTCAAGAAATGCACAGAGATATTTTCAAGCGAAACACGAACATTTCTCTATCTCCACATCTATTTCCAAAAATTACCTTGCGCTTCCTTCCTTTCAGTTGGATGGGTTTCCAGATCATCGAATTGCATATGCTCGATGATTTTAAGACGAAACGAAAGCAACGTTCTACGAAACATGCAGACAAGAATTTCTGCAATGGGAGAGCAGTTTGAACCTGAGGTAGTCAACATCAAATTCTGAAAACTAATATTGTATTCGGAATCCCCATGCTCGCCTACCCTTCTGTGCCAATTCCCAGCCCTGTAGGTGAACTCTGCAAGAAAATCGATAAATATCGATAAAATCGATATCGATCGATGACACCCGCCCGGACCCGAAGTGTACGTGTGCCAAGTTTGGTCCTGATCGAGATTCAAAAATTTCTATTCGGAACATACGTACATACAGACAGACAGACATACATACATATTTACAGACATACAGACAAACAGACATTCAGCTTTATATATAAGATGGAAACTTCATGAACCTTTGAAACGGCTCAATAGATTGTTTGAAGCACCTTCAAACAATCTAATCTATAATTTTTCAAAGTAAGAAAGATTAAAATTCCTCAAGGATCATTTTCAAAAGGTTCTTGAAAAATTTCAATCTTTCTTACTATGAAAAAGCCTGGAGAAGCATTAGTAGCATGTAAGGTGGGCGTAGAATTAAAGCGAAGAAAAACCTCGTTAAAACTAGAATTGGGCTAACAATTAGTACACGTTGAAAGTAACATCTCAGATAATTGCGGGGGCAGGCGGACCGCAAACTCGCGCTTTCTTGCAGGCGGTCAGTAGAATTTTTGGGCGTGGCCAAACCTTCAGCGGGCGAAAGAAATTATTTAACGAGCGCTCGCAGAGAATTGTATATTGTCTGCCGCTGGCAAAACATGCGACAGTAAAGAAAGTAGCTCGCTTAAGATTTGGCCACGCTTTAAACGCTGAACGCTTGGAAGAAAGCGCGAGATTGCGGTCCGTCTGCCCCCGACGATTATCTGAGCAGAAGAACATCTCCTACCATAGAATAGCAAAGATACCACCTTCTCTCATGCAATTTCTTCTCATCATAATCTTCTTCCCAGTCTCTTCACTGTTTGAATTAGTTTTGGCCACCTTGCAGGAATGTGATAGTTTTTTTAAAGTTCTTTGACATGAGTAAGTCTATAATGGCAATAATGTTCCATGTAAGTCCAACAGATATTTGCACAGACAGAAGTGAATAAAAAATAGTGGGTAAATAATGCCGTCTCCCCTAACTATATGCGTCTCAAACTTAGTTTTGCAAGTGTAACCCATGGTACAAAAAGTTCAATGTTTCTTTAGCGGAACCCAAATTCTATCGCGAACTCGCGCGCAAGCCGGTTCAATTAGTTTCTTCATTTAGGCCGAGGCAAGTGCGCCAAGGATGCGAAAACTTTTTTGTTTATTGTATTCCTCCGCCTGTGTTATATTCTAATATACACACAAGATTTGTCCTATTTGCTATAAGAGTAAAAATTGGAAAGAAGTGGTCACTTGATAAGCCTTCATTAGCGATAGCAAACGCGATTTGGACTGAAAAATTTGCATTATCGTTGCGCAGCCACGAAGCGGCATGATTTGCTAGATTTTTTTCAACAACTCTCAAATACATTCTCTGTCGTATCCTGGATGGTCGATGCAGCTATTATGATGATGCTCTACAAAGTGTGCAATAGTTCTGCAATATCTTCTTCAAGCTACTCTCTCGTTCGCCAAGTCTACGCTGGATTATTTTAATCATTATTGTTTGATGCAGATAGATGAGTGTTCTAATGTTCAAGTAAGCTCAAAATTTTCTCCAGCAGGTCTGTAAGTTTCCGTAATCTGAGTTTTTCACATTTTCTGGTCTGCTAACTGATTTTATGCTCCATTTGTAGTTTGCCGTCCAACAAGTACAAATGACATCGTTTAATATCTATCAAGCAAGAATTGTACAGGAATCTTTAACTTCAGGAACAAGTTAGTAGATTGTTTGGATGTGACCCAGATCTTTCCGTTGAGATTGGCGTGAAGTATGTCGAAAACATACATTTACGTCAAATCGTTACTTTTCGCTTCCAAGTTTCCCTACCACCTAATTTTGTCATCTAATTGCCTAAAGCAAATTTAACTACCCCAAAAATCTTACAGATAAGTCCATTCTTTTGACACAGATAAGTGCGCCATATAGACTCTTCAGATAAGCCCGCCGTGCAAATAAATTCTTTTTTTTCATTATGGTCCTAAGACTTTCAGATAAGTCCGGACTCATCTGCCGGGGGACTTATCTGATGGGCGGCCCTATTTGTGAGATTTTAAGGTAATCACATCTCTTACACGACGAATTTCCGTGAAATATTCGGGGAGAGCTAGAGGGAGGGAGAGGGCAGGGCCGGTCACAGACGTTCTGGAGAGAAAATAGACTTCGTTTTTGGTTCCGACAGCAGAAGAACTATCCTAAAATAATCTTCAACTCTGTTGTGCCGTACAGGTTTGTTATGTTTTTTTTGTTATGTGTTATTGTTATGTGTTTGTTATTTTTTTGTTATGCCCAGGTTTGAAGAAAACGGAACATGGGAATTATCCTAAAATACGTTGGAAATGACACTTGACCTCCAGACTTTCATCTGTTTTACCAAAAAGTCGGTACATGACTGGCATGTTCTAATTGCCTTTTACAAAAGCGCCCACTTTCATTTTATGATACCGAATTCAGACCACATCATATGTACAGTATTTCTGACAAGGATATATAGAAAAATTCCGAAAACTTTTATGTCGTAATATCTGCTCTCGGATTCAGGTATCTATCACCAAACCAACAGGGCTGGCTCGGAGCATAAATATTCGCCCAATCGCGTAATTTTTGAATCTATTTGGCATAGACTTGCTAGCGGTAAAAATCTATATATATATATATATATATATATATGTGGCGTAAACAGGATTTCCGCTCGGGGGGGGGGGGGCGCGACAAAAAATTTTTTCAAATGACGGTGCGTGGCGTTAGCCACGCACTCCGAAAAAATTTTAGGGGTGCTTTTCAAAATTTTTGCGGGTCCCCAATCCCTAAAATTTGGAAAAAGGGGGCGTGGCGTCAGCCACGCCCCCGAAGAATTTTTTCTTACAAAGCTAATTTGAATTTTTAAAAATTTTTAAAAATTATTTTAATTATTTACAAGTATGAACAAGTCACTTGCACATTTTTATAACCCATAAGTATAAGTAACTTTCAAAAATTTGGCGACCCATTCTCGGGGGGGGGGGGGGGGGGGCGCGACAAAAAATTTTTTCAAATGACGGTGCGTGGCGTTAGCCACGCACTCCGAAAAAATTTTAGGGGTGCTTTTCAAAATTTTTGCGGGTCCCCAATCCCTAAAATTTGGAAAAAGGGGGCGTGGCGTCAGCCACGCCCCCGAAGAATTTTTTCTTACAAAGCTAATTTGAATTTTTAAAAATTTTTAAAAATTATTTTAATTATTTACAAGTATGAACAAGTCACTTGCACATTTTTATAACCCATAAGTATAAGTAACTTTCAAAAATTTGGCGACCCATTCTCGGGGGGGGGGCGCCCCCCCCCCCCCCGCCCCCCCCCCCCTCGGTACGCCACTGATATATATATATATATTTATATTTATATTAGGTCATTCCGAAAGTAATTTTGCTGTTTTCAAACAGGCGCTATATCTGATGGAACAAAGGTTTCTGAGAGATCTTGGAAGCATTCGATGCAGCATTTCATTCTCTTTCTAATGATTATAAAACTGTTGCAAAACAGTCAATGAGCTTTCAGAAAATAACCAAAATCTGCGACCCATGCTTTTTGAGATGGTCAAGTTTCACAATTCTTTAAACCTTTCATATCAATCAGGTAAAGATTCGATAGAGTAAACCTTATAGAATACAGTGCTACTTTTTTCCCTTTCTCGTAGTTCGCCGTAATTTTTTAAAAAGATTTTTAACAGAACCATCGGATTTTGGCAGGCTCACCTCAACCATAATCGCATCAAACATCATAATTTTTTGGAATTTGAGACTACCAACAAGGTACTATGAGTTAGCATCAATTTTACAAAGCAAGTGAGGGTTTACGGATTTGAAATATCAAATTTCGAGTTTTTCAGGTAGAGCCTGGGGCTCGCTAAAAAATGAGTTACGATGATTTTATCCCCGGAAATTAAATGAATCGGAAACAAAAAACACCTATTAGAAAGAGGAGAAAAAGCTGCATCGAATGACACCCGAGCTGCTCAAGGTTTTATGTTCTACTAGGATTTAGCTGTCCAAGTATGGAAATCGGTAGCATCAGTTAAAATTCTGTTCAAAATGTATGACAAACTATAGAAAAGAGAAAAAAAAATGCACTGTCTTCTATGAGGTTTGCTCTATCGAAGCGTCACTTGAACTTCTTCTGAGAACTGATATGAAAGGGGTGTATGACTTTATGAACGATAGCATGTGCCAGCCGCCAGCTGGGTACCGTACGCGGTGCGCTGATCGCGCCGCCCCCTTGTTAATTAACCTAGGAATGCGTTGCAATCACTGGAAAATCTCCAATATTTCGTTCTTGCTTCTTCAGTTGGTTGCAATTTGGATAACAGTAGATTGCAAATTTCAATTGAATTGAAAATCAGTTTTCAATCTTTTTCCATTATAAATCTATTCGCAAGCTCATTTCAATGTATATCAGTTATTTGTTCCTGGTGGGTTTGTCCAAATTGATTCTTTGTTGTAAGTAACTATTTCATGCTTGGAAAAGTGTTTTCTTTATTCACATCTGTTACTATATTGAATATTCTCTATTGTGCACCCACAAGTTTAGTTGAAAAAGAAGTCAGCTTATCGAGAAATATTATATCATTGCTGAAATGACCAAAACGATTATGTATCGTGTGTTCTTAAAAAAATGTCCTTTTTATTAAAACAAAACGTTTGTCTTTTTTAACGGAAAAGTAAGTTTTGAAACCCTATAATAGCTAAAACCAGATTTCATTGCGACGGGATCAAAACAAGCATTATAGGCGAATTTTGTTTTGAGCAAACTAATTTCGATAAATTGTGTACATCATTACATTTGGTAAGGTTTCACACAATCAGATTCACTCGTTTTGCAAATATGCGGTCACTATCACACAATCTTCAACGTATAAACTGATCTGTAACTCAATCGAAATTGCGTGTGAACTAGTCGTGAGATGTGAGGTCACTCAGACAATCATGCCTTAGGTGTTCTAGATTTATTTCACACTTCAAAGTTGGATATCCACGA